AGAACCAGATCAGGTGTCAATAACCAGACCCTGTGTTCCTGAACGTGGAGGAACAGCCCCCCCCGGTGGTGGACCAGGTCTGAGGACGGTCCGTGAGGAGGACGTGTTGCAGCAGATCGATCTGATTAATGAGCTGATGAATAATGAAGAGTGTTTGATGTGTGAGTGCCCCAAGGCCTGAGATCAGCTGATCGTCTGCAGCCTCCTTAGAACTCAGAGTTTAATCCTTCGCCTGAGAACATCGATCGTCAGACAGACACACAGATGCACAGAGAGCTGATCGATCAGTCTGATCAATACTCCCAGACAGACTCAAACATCTGAATGAGCCGTCGGCTTCACGCTGCTGCTGCTGAGAGCCTGCGGATCAGAACCAGAACCAGAACTCCTTCGTTGACCCAGAGGGGAAATTCTTTGTTTCAAATTGCTCACTTTGCACATCAGGGTATTAGAAATGATAATAGAAAGCAGTGTGGACATGTGCAGTTTTTTACAGTCATAACAGAAGTGTCTTGATAAATGAAAGCTACATGAATAAAAAACTACTAACAGTAGTGAAAGTGGACACGAAGCTGTTCCTGTGATGTAGAGACAGAGCTCAGGTAACACAGGTTAATAACTCTTGATCCAGTCCGGGCTCTGAAGCTGGTTCTGGATCAGACTCGGCTCCATCATGTACGGCTGCTTTGTTTTGGATCACACCAGCTTGCTTGTAAAGACCTGCCCTACTCTGCTTCTGATTGGTTAGTTTCTTGTCTAAAGTCTGTAGATGATGACAACTCATGTAGTCAGAGGTCACCAAGTACTGCAGAGAAAAACTACCAGCAAGTCAGACCGACACCCAACAGCAGACCGACCCACACGGCGCTGAACCAGAACCAGAGGGCCTGTAGGTTCACTTTTACAGGCCTAATTCCTAATTCTTATCGGCTTACTCTTTTTTAGGAAATATCTCCTTTCCTCTCGCGCATGTTGGCTGTGAATGAAATGTAATCTGCGTTCAATAAAGCTGTAGTCAAATCACACACCTGGATTTGAACATTTACCTGGGCAGGTAAAACTCCTGAATTCCAGATGAAAACAAATGTCAGCTTATTGTCAAAATCCTCACAGAAGACTTAAAGGAGACGTGTTATTCTGATTTCATATTGTAGTTCTGTGACTCCTGTGCTGCAGCTTTGTATGTCTCATACTGACTCTTCATGTAGGCCTTCATTTCAGCCTCTGTCTGAAACAAGCTGTAGATGCTCCTGTCTCTTTAAGCCCCCCCTCTCAAAGTCCACTGTCTTCTGATTGGCTGTTGTCTCATGTGTTCACCAGGGGCAAGTTCAGTGCAGATGAAACGGTGTGTTTACAGACATGTCGCAGCTGATTGGGTAACACCTGAGACACGCCCACCAAACGGGAGAAAACAGACCTCGAAGCCCGTTGAGGAACGTTGCGAGGAGACATATTGTTCAATCCGAAAACGTTGCAAAATGTTTTCGGATTGAACTCGCCCCAGGTTGCCGCAGGGATGGGGCTGCGTGTTCCTTTGTGGGCGTGGCCAGCATGCTTTGTCTAGGGCAAATGACCATATAAGGAAATCCAGCTCAGAATGACATCATACCGAGTCAGAAAACCTAACCTACAGCGTCTCCATGAGCTGGTTCTGTGATGCACTGGACTTTATTTAACAGCAGCTGCAAGTGATGCAGACAAGACATGCAACTAAGGTCGAGGTTCAGGAATGGTACGGTCCGTTTTAGAGGTGTCGGAAGGCATGAATATGGGAATAAGATAGGTAAGAATGACCCCACGTGTTGCCTCTGCTGGGGGGTCCAAGTCTCAATCCCCTTGTTTTTCAAACCATGCTTGGTACTGAGCATGTGCAGCTCCCAACCAAGATCTACTAGAAGTGAGATGCTTCAACACGCAGAGTGAAAAGAGGAGCTGCAGCAGAGATCTGGTGTAAACCTGCTCTGCTCCAAATCAAATGAGGAACGTGAAAATGAGCTCAACACGACCTCTTCAGGTAAAGAAGTAAGAAGTCTGGTTTACATTTATCTTTTCATCATTTCTAACGCAGAAATGAATTGTGCTTCAGATCTAGACTTAAAACCCAACTGTTGCTTTCTGTTAACTGACCACATGCAATCCTTTGTGGATGCTCCTGTCTCTGCAGTGAGTCTCCAGACCTCTGAAACCCAGACCTCTAGACCTCTGACTTTAGACCCTTGTTGACAGATGTCCATAATAATAATAATGAAAAGACTTTGTAACCACAGCACAACGTGGTTTTCAGATGAAAAGTGTCGGTAATCCAGGCAGCAGAAGTCTTCGTCTTATCTCTGTTCAACACGGGAAGTTCAACATTTCAACATGCTGATCACAGTTTGTTATCTTTATCATTTTAGCACTTTGAACTGCATCATTTCCCCCCCAAGCTATCAGACCTTTATGCTCAAAGTCACCCTCACTGCTCCTCTGAATATAGTTTATTCTGTTTACCATTTTTATATTTGCTTCTATATTGATGTCTGTTGTCTGCTATGTAGCAGAAGGGAGTTACAAACTCAGTTTCTGTTAGACTGTGACAAATGTGTGTGTTTACAACACATTAATATTGGTGACTAGTTAATGATCTGTATGTCGAAGCGTGCTGACTGTTTTGTGCACTCAGTGTTATTGTGGTGTAATGTATTATTCTCTGTGTTGTTTATTATGTTGTCCTTTTTTGGACTACAGATGAAAATTATAGTATCTCAAAAAAAGTGAGGACACCCCTCAGTGAAAATGTCCACATTGGGCCCAATCAGCCATTTTCCCTCCCGGTGTCATGTGACTCATTAGTGTTACCAGGTCTCAGGTGTGAAAGGGGAGCAGGTGTGTTAAATTTGGTGTTGTCGCTCTCACACTCCCTCATATGCACGCTCACTACTTTACACTGTTATACAAGCTGCACGCTCGCTACTTTACGCTGTTCGACAAGCTGCACGCTCGCTACTTTACGCTGTTCGACAAGCTGCACGCTCGCTACTTTACGCTGTTATACAAGCTGCACGCTCGCTACTTTACGCTGTTATACAAGCTGCACGCTCGCTACTTTACGCTGTTCGACAAGCTGCACGCTCGCTACTTTACACTGTTATACAAGCTGCACGCTCACTACTTTACACTGTTATACAAGCTGCACGCTCACTACTTTACACTGTTATACAAGCTGCACGCTCACTACTTTACACTGTTATACAAGCTGCACGCTCGCTACTTTACGCTGTTCGACAAGCTGTACACTCACTACTTTACACTGGAGCAGAGTCATTTCTTCAGTGTTGAACATGAGAAGATAGAATCAGATATTTACAAAAGTGTGAGGGGTGGACTCACTTTGTGAGATGCTGTATGTCCTTTGTTAAATAAATAAACCACCTTAAATAAAAACTGTTTTTCTAAACAGCAGAAAGTTTAAGGAATTTACAGACATCTGATCCTTAAATATCCCTCATTTGTTAATCAATCCTCATGAATTATTTTTAAAGCTTGTTTAGCTTCCATTAAAGGATTCTTTTAACTGACTGACATGATTGGTTGCCTGGGTTTAAACTGCTTTATAGGGTTAAAAATGTTTTATTTATGATTGGTCTCAGATGCTTTCAGAATCCAGTTGTTAAACTAGTTTACAGGATTCAGAAAATAGTTTTAAGAACTCAAAGTGTGTAATGGAAGAAGTCATACAAATAACATTTAACATATTAAGATGTTATTGTATTGTATTCGTTTCAGATGTGTGATAGTTCTTTATTTTAGTTCTCTTTTCTATATTCCCCATTTTCAAATGTCTTGATTAAGCTGAGGACTGCCTGTCCTGCCCCGCCCTCCCCCCTATAAATTACTGCAAACAGCATCACCGCCTCCACTTGTACAGCTGAAGACAGCAGAAAGCTTCCTCCACCTGAGCAGGTAAATAAACCACCAACAGCAGTTTGTCCAGAGCTGAATTCAGTCCAGAACCTGGTTTCACTTTGCTGCAGGTTCATTTAGTTTTGAATCTTTCCTGTTGCAGCTTGTTGGAGACGAGCAGCTTGTTGGAAACAGCAGTGAAGGTGAGAAACTTTTCGATCATTTAGGAGTTGAACTGATTAACTGGGAGGACAACTAAACACTGATGTTCTGCTGTTCAGATGAATCTCCTGCCCTGGATGATGCTGGTGTTCCTGCTCTCAGCTGGGACCAGTTTGGCTGATGTGGACGTGAACTGGCTGGCTGGGATTGTAGAGGCCATCAGGACAGAGTGAGTAGACTCGTAGTCTGACTGCATTTCATGTCATGTACAGGACAAGAAGGGTTCATTATCCAGTTAAGCCAAATAAAAACATCATCATGTCCCGCGTCTTGTCCGTCCAGTCAGATGGTTTTGGTTTTATGTATCCAGGTTTGGAAATATCTGTCTCTGAGATTTCTGCTTCCACCACAACACAAAAGAGGTCCAAACAAAGGAGTATAGGTTTGGGGTTACAAAAATACGCCAACTCACGTATCATGTGTCGGTGCATCGCTGCACCCGGTGTAAGCAGGGATTCCCCCGGAGACCACCATCTACAGTGTAGGAGTATTTTAGACAGACACTCAACAACTCGGTGCTCCGTCAGCTGTGGTAATTGGAAATGGCTTCACTGCAGCACAACTGCTGTGCACAAATACATGAAGCAGCATGAACACATGAAGTGAAAGCATCTCCGAGCACTTTATCAAGACGGCAACAAGCCAGCACTACAAACCCTGTTTACTTTCTGTCCCCACACAAGTCTGGTACGTTATCAGCACGAGGAGCAGGTTTCTGTTACTGGAAGTCTATTAAAAGAGATTACTAGAAACTATTTTCTATTACATTCTGTATTAAAAATTTCTGCATAGCTGCTGTCATGGGAACCTTATTTAACGCCACATATGAGCGAGAAAACAGTTTAAACTTTCACTGTGTGCACAATTATTAGGCGAGTATTTTGACCATATCATCATTTTTTATGTATAAAGCATTTTTATTTGTATAAAGCTGAATGCACCCTTTCTTCTCCGTGCCCTTTTGGTGCCACAACTATTAGCAACAAAACGTTTGATTGTCCTGGGGTCACGCCTCAACAGTTGAGCCATTTCAAAAGTGTTGCCTCCGTCTGAAAGACATTTTACAGATTTTAACATTTCAGTCTTTTCAATCTCTTTTTGGCCCATTTTGCCTGAGGTAATGAAGCTGCCTGATAATCATACACACCTTGATATAAGGTGTTGAACTCCTTAGGTCAAACCCTCCCTCATTACACAAATACACATCACCTGATATGCTTAAATCCAATAAGCATTTAACTTTAAACAGCTTGGAGTTGGAAAATATGCATAAAGTTGATATGTTCAAAATACTGTGACTAGTCTGTGACTGCTGTTAGTCTGTAGTCTCAGTTACATTTGCATATTACTCCAATGATGAACGAAATCCATGTTAGAAACAACTTACTTAACGTACAACGTAACAACGTACTTATTGTTAAGGCAGCACGGTGGCCCCACAGCAAGAAGGTCCCGGGTTAGTTGTCCGGTGGTCCCCGTTACAACCCTTCTGGCTTTGAACCCCGGTCGTCCCGGCCTTTCTGTGTGGACCATCAGAAACATGTCAGGTTCTCCAGTCAGTGCCGTTTGACCAGACAATGCATTAAATCTGGAGTTGGTCCCTGGTCGCTGTACAATGGCCGCCCACTGCTCTCTTCAGGGATGGGTTAAATGCAGAGAATTAATTTCGCTATGTGTATGTGACAAATAAAGTACCTTTAATATCATAACACAGCAGTGATATGGAAAATTTGACTCATTTTAAGATCTGCTGCTATTCTCCTTATTCTAATGGAGGTGCAGCCTAAATATTAATTTTGTCCACATTGAGAAGAGCAGATTGACTTTCATTAGTTCAGATGGAGGAACTGCTGGTCAGCTCTCTGTGATCTTTCTTTTCCCGGGTTTACATACTGTGTTTATGGTACTGGTGTTGTTCGTTTTATGAATTTTCGCTGGTGAACATCTAAGGATGTCAGAGTTTATGATCCAACGCTCGGGTCTATCAGACTTTCTAGAGTGAAAGAACTTTAAGATTGTTACTGTGCACATGGACAACAGTCTGTTTCAACTGAGCTGCTTATAAAAATCTTACATTACAATTAGCTGACACTTTTATCAAAAGTGACTTACAATTGCTCTACATGTCAGAGGTCGCACGCCTCTGGAGCAACGAGGGTTAAATGTCTTGCTTCTGGACACAAAGGCATGTGTCTTATCCACTGCGCCATCACTACCCTTTAACAACACTGAGCCTGAAGTGTGAGTAAGACATGGCAACTAAAACAATCCACGTACAGTCAGTCCAGCTCAGGAATGATGATCTGTCAGAATCAGAACAAAAATGCTCATCAGACCTCAGTCTGTTCAAACGATCTTCCAGTGCTCATTAAGTAATCACAGACTGCTCTAAATACAGAAATACAGTTTAAATAGTCTGTCAGCAGCTTGTCTTCAGAGGAAACTCTTAGTGATAAAGAGTTGGTGACGTGTAGTAGAGCTGCTGGTGCAGGGATCAGATCCTCTGTGAATTCGACCCCAGAGTTTCCTGATGAATAACCTTCCTCTCTGAATCAAATCATCTCAGTTCTGTGTTACAGTTTGTGCATCTGTCTCCTTCAACAGGTACAAGATAAACGGACAGTTCTGTCTGGCCGCGAACATCCCACTGAGCGAAGACCAAAACGCGATTGGTAACGCCCTACAGTTTGACCGCTACAGTGGAAATGTTAAAGACATGATTAATGGGGGTGATGTGTATGAAAGCCAGACAGTGGTCATAGCCAAACCTGCAGGACCTGTACACGCAGAACCTCAAGTTCTGCAAAAGTTGAGCACATTGAGGAGAAACAGTGAGGGAAACTTCCTGCTCATCTACTCTTACCTCTCCCCATGTGGAGACAAGTGTGCAAACCCAGACAATCAAAAACAACATCCTTCAATACTTTAGAAACAATGCCTTGCACCTTGGAAAAATAGTTATGCCTTTGTGTTTACAAGAGTCTTTGATCAGCCCAACTTTGTGATCCCCTACCAAAGAGGATTTGAAAAGACAGCTCGGGAGTTCCGGGCTTGGTCTCAAAAACATTTTCCGCTGTTTTGGTGTGAAAATACAGAATTAGAGTGCCACAGCTGCTCCTCTCAGGGAAGAGTTTCAAATGTTTGTTAATAACAACTGGCCTCAAGGCGGAGGAAGCAGCAGCAGCAGCAGAAGTAGCAGCTACAACAGAGGGCAAGGCAGCAGCAGCAGTATAGGTGTCAGAAAGAGCAAAGACAACAAGAAATATAGACATAGAGACAGAAGCAGAAGTAAAAGCAGCAGTATAAGTGGCAGAAGGACCAGAGACAACTGAGTGAGGAGCAGCAGCAGCGCGGGTAGAGCAGTTCAGGGCTTTTTGTACAGTCAGAGTTTCTGGTCCCAGTATAAGTGGTTCCCACTGAGATAATCCCATTAAACAACATTTGATCATCACGATGTAAAAACTTTCATTTCATGCTACACAAGAACAGTACTTAGTGAATTATCTTGTGGCATGTTATATAATAATGAACGATTACATGTTTAATAATGATCATATTTATAGTTTAGATGCCTCCTGTTCTCTGTGAATTCACAACATTTTATTTTCCCAAAAGTCAAAGCAAGGACCGTTATTGTGCTGCATGGTCATTTTGAATAAAGCTTGATTCAGCATCAAACCTGCCGTGTCTGACTTCATCCCAGAAACTGATCAACACACAGTGATCACCTGATGAACTGAAAATGGAAGGATTTCAGTTAGTTAATTATCAAAAAATATTAATACCAAACACAAACTTTTAGTGAAGTTGAAGAGTTTGGATTTTCTGGCAGCTGACTGGTTTAAGAGTATTATTTTGAAATGAAGATGAAATACCAGAACCAGAACCTGGGACTCTGCAGTGGTGAAAACTGGTCCGGGTGGTCACCTGACACCTTTCACCTGTCCAGCTGCAGAAGCTGCTGGCTAAAAACGTGCAGCACGTAAATTTGTTTGCAGCGATCTCCTGTTATAGTATCTGATTATCATCAACATGTTAGAACATTCTTATCTGTTAATGCAGAAAGAGTTGGTAGTTTAGTCCACAGTGAAAATAATAATAGTGCAACATAGTCGTATATTATTAATATCTGTTACAGGTTATGTGCATTTGGATTTTCCTCCCGGTTTGTGGGACAAAGGAGATATAAAAAACCCACATTATAATCAGAGAGTTACAGCAGCTTCCTGTGTTTGTGTGTTTCTATGTATAATTAAACAGCAGTCAGTGTGCTGATGCTTCCTTCTCTACACTCAGCTCTCGTTGATCCTCCTCCTATTTACATTTGGAACAGCTGATTTGATGATCAGAGGTATTGATCTGAATAAAACACAAAGACAGACCAGTGGACCCAGTACAGCTGACTGGGAGGCAACAGAAGAGGACTGTGTGTCCTCAGCACAGCTGTTTCACAGTGAGCGCTGCAGACACGGCGCCCTCTGGTGGTCAGTCTGGAATTAACATTCACTCACCATGTGGCCAAAAGTATGTGGACGGCCCTCAGACCCACTTGTGGGGGAGGAGACAGCGACAGGTTTGTCTGCGGTCAGGGTACCGACTGGATCCACCATCAGCCCACGGTAACCGAGCCCTGATTGGTCTCTTCAAACCTGACTTCAAACACATCTGGAAGAAACAGAGACGTGATGATGTCAGAGTGTGATCATGAGGTTTGTCCTGATGATTGATTAGTGATGGTTGGGGAATAAAAGCAGCAATGAGGTGAATGAGACGGGACCCTTCAGTGTGACTGACGGCTGTCAATCAGAGCGGTGTTTGGGTTTAGTGTGACCTCGTCAGTGCCTGCAGAGCGCTCTGAGGCCACCTGTCAATCAACACCATTAACACACACACACACACACACACACACACTGAGTGTTAAAGGAGTTTCCTCTTCACATCACAAAGCATCTGACAGACTCGTGCTGACGACGAGTCTCTTTGGGAACCACTGGTCTGCTCACTTATTATCAATTAACCAAAAAAATTACTCGACTTATTTAATTTCCAAAATTTCAGAAAACTGTAAAAATAATCTCCACCCAGTTTCTTCAAATGTGTTGTTTTCCCCAACAGAGATCCAGTTTCCTGTGACAGTTTATTATTACAATGACTAACCGACTAATAAACATGTTGATTGATTCTGTTGCTCATTTATTCCATTTATGGACTAACTGTCTGCAGCAGGGCTGCCACCATTTTTATTCAAAGGTTTGTTCAAACATGAGAAAAATATGATTAAAGTGTTTCCAGTCAGAACACGGGTTTGAAGTAGTTTACCTTGTGGTCCAGCAGAGGGCGCTCTCCACAATCACTGTCAGCTGCTGACCTGATCAGTAAACTCAGCTGATCAGAAAAGGAAGTCACAGAGAGGCAGAGAGAGGAACTGTCAGTGCCCAATCCGTACCGCCATAGATATCCATAATAAAGGCTAGAGATGTCTCGTCCGCGCTGCTGGCCAATGGAGGTCGACGTCTGCACCTGGCGGCCATCTTGTCACACTCACTGGTAACATTGTGTTTTGGTGCATGTACTTGTTAAATAATCATAACTTCCTCAATTTTATACCGATTTTCAAACGGTTTGGTTTGTTATAAACGTCAGAGATGTCGTTATGAACTTATAAATAATTATAACGGACTTTCATATGAAATAACATTGAACAGACAGATAGGTGCAATGAATATACACGCAAGGTATTATGGTAAATCAATATATAGGCTACTAAAACTCAGTGTACAAAATGGCACCATAATTTATATATAGGCTGCCAAACGATTAATTACATCCAAAATAAAGTTTGTTTACATAATATGTGGTGTACAGTGTATTAATAATAATTATGTTTAATATAAATAACACACACATGCATGTGTATTTAAGTTAAGTATTTAATATTTGCATGTATATACTGTATATAGACTTGTATAGATATGCCAGACCTGGTCTGTATGTATATTTTATATAAAAATAACACATTTTTCTTAAATATATACATTGTGTGCATTTCGAATTTCAAATCGTTATTGGTGTCAGTAAAACCTATATAATTGAACAGCTCGATTGTGGTCTCAGCCTTGATAACTTGCGCAAGTCGCCGTGATACACAACTATGCTGTACGATTAAGTCGTTTCTCAAAAAGAAAATCTGCAATTTCAACATGTTCAAGCCTCCAGAATTATAGCCACGTTAATAACGTTTGTAAGAAACCAAACCGTTTGTAAATCTGTCATGATTTCAACGAGAAGAGTATTTGGGTTCGTGTGATCACTCATCTTACATTAGGTACCACAGAGA